AACCACAGATTAATATTCTAACACCCCCTTTCGATTTTGAGGTATAATATAACCGATAAATCGACTAAGCGCAGCTCTAACATCATTACCCCCATCACTATTTATGTCAACTTCTCATGTAACAAAAATTTCCATGATAAAATTATTAAAACTTACTCTATCACCTCTTTACTTTATAACAAACAAAGAAATTCCTATTTTAACTTTTACAAATAATATAGATGAACACTTTTATATAATGAAAAACAGTATAAATTCTAAGCAATACCTAACATTGCTCTCAAATATGAAAATCTATCAAAACACAAACTTTTAGTAAATACATCAGCACAATTTTCTTTGGAACATATGTGTTGAATATTTATTTTAGATTTTGTAACTAAGTCCTTTAAGTAATGATATTTTATGTCCACATGTTTAGTACGTTTGCTGTTCTCATAGCTGTTTGCCATGTCTATAGCACCACAATTGTCCACATATAAAATACACTTTAAGTTTTCACAAAGATCACTAGATAGTCCTTTTAAATTAATTAAATCACATGCACTAATAGCAGCAGCTATGTACTCGGCCTCGGCCGATGATAAGGCCACACAATTTTGTTTTCTTGAAAACCAGGCAACAGTGTTTCCACAATAAAAACTGACTGATCCACTAATACTCTTTCTATCTATGTTGCTACCGGCCCAATCTGCATCTGAATATGTTTCTATTTCTTTCTTGTTTGATTTCTTGTATATTAATCCTAGATCTTTAGTTTCTTTTAAATATCTTAATATTCTTTTTGCTTCTGTCCATACACTTTTATTTGGTTTATCTAAAAATTGACTAAGGTAGCTTGTTGAGTATGTTATATCTGGCCTTGACATTGTACTTATAAACATTAGACTGCCGATAAGTTCTCTATATGGAACTTGTATTTCTTCTTCTATTGAAGCTTGAAATCCCTTTATCATAGGTGTCCTTGCTGAATTACAGTTTTGCATATTAAACTTCAGTAACATTTTATCTATTTGTTTTTTCTGTGTTATTTTTATTAAATCTTTATGTCTTTCTATTTCCATTCCTAAAAAGTTGCTAACCTCTCCTATATTTATTGCTTTAAATTCTTTCTTTAATTTTACTATCAAATTTGTTATTTCTTCTTCTTCACCTGTTAAAAGTATGTCATCAACAAATACAGTCATAAAAACTTTTTTCTTTGTATATAAGCAGAAATCATTCATTGATCTATACAGTTCATTTTCTTGTGCAAATTTATCAAATCTTTTATTCCAACATTTTGGACTCTCTTTTAGTCCATAGAGACCTCTATGTAGCTTTAGTACTTTCCCTTGTTCTTGCTTTATCCCTTTAGGAATTTTTATATAAACTTCGCCTTCTAATTCTCCATTCAAAAAGGCTGTAGGTATGTCTAGTTGTTGTATTTTCCAATCTTTTTGTAGTGCTTGTACTAATAATGTTCTTATAGTGATCATTCTGGCGACAGGTGAATAATTGTTCACATAACTCTCACCCCCTTTCACCTGGAAGCCTTTTGCAACCAATCTTGCCTTTTTTATGTTGTTTTCTTTTGTTCTAAACACCCATTTTGTGTCAATTGCTTTTTTACCTTTAGGGAGTTCTGTCACTGACCAAGTTTTCATATTTTCTAAAGCATTCTTTTCTTTTTCTATCGCTTTTCTCCATTCTTCATTTTCAATGGCTTCTTCATATGTTAATTCAATTTCATTTTGTGTGTATAGACAATAGGCGATATTTCCAGATTCATTATATGTTGTAGTATCATAATCATTTAGATATTTAGGTTTTTCTATTTTTCTTCCTGATCTAGTTATTTTATTTTGTTCTGTATCATTAGTATTTTCATTTATTTTATTCTTTTCTCTTCTACTTTCTTCTTGATAGTCGTCTTCATCGCTTTCTAGTTCATTATTATTCTCATTTTTTATGTATATATTCGTCTTTATATTTTCATTATTCTTCTGTTTCATATTTATGATGTTTTCTAATTTATAATTATTTTCATTAAATATAACATCTCTTGATATATGTATTTCTTCAGTCTCCGGATCCCATAATTTGTATCCATTTGTAGTGTAACCTATGAATATTAATGCTTTTGCTCTGGGATCTAATTTACTTAGTTTCGGAATATGAACTTTCCACGCTTGACATCCATAAACTTTCAATTTTTTGAGATCTAAATGTCCATGCCATAATCTTGCAGGTATATCACCATTTAATGCTACTGTTGGACATCTATTTAGTTCATAAGCTGAAGATTGAATTGCATGTCCCCATAAGTACTTGGGCAAGTTTGTATCTGCAAATTTTGTTCTTGTCTTATTCATTAAAGTGCGGTTCATGCGTTCTGCCTTGCCATTTTGCTGCGGCGAATAAGGTTGCGTATATTCAAGTTTTATTCCTTTATTCATACACCAATTTTTAAACTTATTTGATGTAAATTCACCACCATTATCTAGTCTTATTCTTCTTGTTTTTGTATTATATTGTGTATTTAGTTCTTTTATATATTGTATTAAATGATTCTCAGCTTCATTTTTATATTTCAATAGTTTCACCACAGTGAAATGTGAAAAATCATCTATAATTACTTGGAAATATTTAAAACCTTCTTTTGTGGGTGTATGTGGTCCACTAATATCAGTGTGTATTAACTGTCCAAACGTATTTGCTCTTTTTTCATTTCTTTTGAATGTGGGTCTAGTTGCTTTACCTTGTATGCATTCTGAGCACGCTTTTTCACTTATAGGTAGATTTAGAATTCTCATCCCTCCTTTATTTAAATGACCTAATCTTTTGTGCCACATTTCCCCTTCATTTATTTTCTGAACAGTAAGACCTTGAGCTTTTGCATTATCTATTTTCATATTTAATATGTATAGCTTATTACGTTCTTCAGCATAGAGTTTTATTCTTGAATTTTGTATTTTAAAACCATATTGATTTATTTGTATATGATATCCCTTTTCAACTAGTTTCTTCACCGATAGTAAATTATGTTTTATATCTTCCACTATTAATGCTTCTATATTTATTTTTATATTGTCACATATCACATCTAATATTCCTTTCTTTCTGGCTACTAAAACTTGATTGTTCGCTATATAGATTTTGACTTCATTTCCCAATTTTGTGATTGTATGCATGTATTTTTGTAAATCACTTTTTACATAATGTTCAGATGCTCCAGAATCTAGTATAAAAATTGAGTTTTGATCTTCTTCTTGTCGAGCGTTCATTGCTATAAAACCTTCTGATGCAGTACTATGTGATTCATTTTTACTTTGTGTGTTAAATCCACGTCCTCTACTAGAATAGCTTTTGTTATAATCGAAATGTCTTTTTGTGTTGTTTCTTCTATTATTATTAAAGTTTTCTTTGTTCAAATTTATATTATTTTTGCACTGATAACTTTTATGGCCTAATTTATGGCATTTATAACAAGTAATAGACTTGAAAGCTGTATAATCATCACCATTGTTCATTGTTGTATTCGCATTTTTTAGTTTTAATTCTTCATCCATTAGTCTGGTTTTTACAAATTCTAAAGTAAGCTTATCATTTATTGTTTCTAGAGCTGTGACCACGGTGCTATATTGTTTTATATCCGTCAAACCCAGTAATAGATATGTTATTTTCTCTTCTTCTTCTAATTTTGTTTTTGCTCCTTCCAATTCTCTTATAATATTGTCGAATTTTAAAAAATATTCTTCCATTTTTTCTTTTTCTTGTAGTTTTAAAGTTATTAATTTCTTTCTTAAATGTAATCTTGTAAATATTGATTTCGTTCAAATACATTATTTAATATTGTCATCATTTCTTTTGCCGTTTTGGCGTCTTTTAGTAGATCTAAATGTCGATCTGTAACACATTGCACGATTATTGATTTCGCTTTCGCGTCTATTCTGTGTTCTACTTTTTCTGATTCAATTGCTGACAACAATTCTTTTTCTTCTAGGATACATTTCACACGAAATTTCCAGCTATTGTAGTTTTCCGGTGTTAACTGAGGTAGATTAACATGTGCACCCGCCATTTTTCTCTAGATCGAATTATATCTATTTTCATCAAATTATTCCACACGTGTATAAGCCCATAACCTATGAGATTTTAATTGATGGGGTAATAATATTCGTCGTGGCGGCGTGCACTTCATAACAAACACTTGATTATGTTATTAGAATTCTTTTATTAATTCACACTTACAAAAAGATCTTTCACCATTTTTACATGAAACCACAGAGAGAGAGATAGTGCCATAGAGTAAGTATGCTACATTAACAACCACAGATTAATATTCTGGTTCTCTGTTAGTCCAAGTAAATTAGGATTTGTCGGAACTAATAACGACAACCATAAGTTGCGTAAATTACGGTTCATAGGCATGCAAAACAATCTGTGAGTGTTATTTGTTGAATCACAGCCACCAACACAACACTTTAATAAAGGCATGACGAGAAAGTACGACTGCAGTACAGTAATTAAAACCAAACAGTTATAAACCCGGATAGTATGATAAAACAAAAAGCTTTTTAAGTATCTCAACTCAAAGTGAATGCAGCACACAGGATAATGAACGGACGAGATGCTGTACAATACAAATATTGTATTGAAATGGCTTTGGCGTTAATTTGTGTATTTTGTATAACGTAAAATACACAATAACAATACCACAGACCACAGATCACTAAATATGTAGCGAGCTACCACAGACCACAGGTTCTTTGGTTGTCACTTTGACCAAATGACGTCATCTAGCAATATGGCGGGTTTAATCGACTGCAGCGCCATAACTATTGAAATCGGAACTAAAGCTGTCTAGATAAAGAATTTTCTATATTGTCTCGGGTCTGGGTGTTGTGGTACCTTTGTTTGTCTCAGAAACTTCATAATACACTCAGAAATGTACGTGATGTATAAAAAATATAAATAAAATGAATTAATTAAAATTATATTCTTTTTATACGCAACAGCGATATTGCATGCGTTCACCGAGTGCGGTCGCGGTGCGGAACTAGCCCGGGAGCTCGTTAGTGCGGAGCTAGCACGGGAAGCGGATCCGCGCGCGATGTTCCGTGCCGCATCGCTCGCCACCGCCGTCGTAGACGAATTTATGCATGCACAGTGCAAGCCGTTCTTACAGGTGAGTGTTTTATTATTAATCTACAGTAACAAAAGAGGATATCTACAATTTGGATAATAATACGAAAGAGAAGTCGTTCCTATTCGTACCACTATATTGTTTTAAAGATTATTAATAAGATAATCTGTTTTTTCATCTAAATTAAAAAATTACAAATAATGTTGCATACTTTAAGTTCTAATTATCAATAATAATGTTTAATTTATAGGCTGCGATATCTGAAACGGTACAGAAACTTATAGACGCCAAGCAGTCCGCTGAACTCAACCCTACTAAAATGGACTCGCCAGACGACGCTTGCAATAATGCAGAATTTTTACTCATGATACTCGACCAGGTAAATAAAGAAAAACCTATTTTCATTGATCGATATTATGATTAAATAGTCGTATCCAGGGTTTCCAGGTCGACAGACCTAGTAGCTGGACAGACCAGCCAGTTTGACTAGACCTTTCGGTAGAAAGGCCGGACATCCTATATATCCTAATAATTTTGTGACTCAGTATTAATAGGTACAAAAAAAAGAAACTATTTTTCTTTATTATTACAATAAATCTGTCGACTCGTCTGCGTTCGACGCTAGCTCGTTTGCGAAATTTAAAAACAAAAGCCGAATACCGTTTATTTTGACCGGACACGTAATCACAAGCAAGCCTAACAATGTTCGGCTTTATTCGAACACCTAGCAATGCTAGTTTTATTTTTTGGGGCCGTGAAGAAATTGATTTATTTGGTTTTGAATTCAAAGTTTTGCATGAAGCAACGTCTTTTTTCAGATTACTTTGTCAATTTTCACATCGCCCGAAGCCTGTCCGAAACCCGTGCGGTATTTGTGTGGATGCCTACAACGTGCGGCGGTCGCTAAGTGGCCTAATGAGAGATTCGTACGAACCAGAGTAGTTTCTGGTGAGTTTCACTTTATTAAATGTATAAAGTTTTAGTTAAATTTTTCAAAGACTGTTATGTGTAATAAATAGTATCTAATAACTAAAAAGGGGATTGGACAACTTTTTAAACTGTTTTAAATTAATAAGTGTAGATGCTTATTCCAACAAAAAAAATGTTAATTTACATTGCCTTATTATGCACCCAACACTATTAACTGTTTCAATAAAAGCGTAAATGATGACGTAATTTATGGGGTAACCAAAAGGGATTTTCAGTGAATATGCGAGTTGTCAGTGCTGTTTATATTCAAACTCACAAATAAATAAAACACAAAAATTACCCTTGTAACGTCTAATATTCAGGTATATCATTAAAATTGTTTTACACTTTGAATGTTTGCCGCGCTTTTCCTAAATAGTTTAACTACTAACTCAACCAAGTCTTATCGATGTTATTTCTCTATGTACATTAATGATATAAGTACCAAATATCAGGTTTATCACAAACGTTAACTTTATTATTTGCTATATTACATTGATCTCTATTTGCATTGCGACAGGGTTCATTTTCCTGCGACTCATCTGTCCCGCGCTAGTAGAACCGCGCGCTTGGGGTTTGGTCGGCACAGCGCCACCACCTCATGCACAGCGATCTCTGCTTATGGTAGCCAAGTGCCTACAGAATCTCGCTAACTTAATCGAGTTTGGCGCCAAGGTGAACTTCATTTATTTAATAAGTTTAATAAAAACTTCTTGATTCAACCATTCTTTCACACTGCTCCGGATACACGTCTTCACGCCACCGTGTCTCGATTAATACTGCCCCTAAGACTAGCAACTGAAATCAGTATTTTTTTTTTATTAAGCCAACACAACATGCGTTTTCGTACAAGTGAGATAATTTAAATTTTTAGTTCTGTTCTGTGAATAAATTAATTTGTTTAATTAAAAACCATATTTTATAATTCCATTTTACAATCATTACAAGTCTCTTCTAAGTAGATTGACGGTTCAATAATAAAGCCATTATAATTTATTTTCAATTTATTATATTTCCAAGTAATTTATTTTATAATCTTACTTCGTACAGGAGCCTTACATGGAAGTGGTTAATCCTTTCATTCTGAAGAACAAAGAGCGAATGGTAGTATTTTTGGACCAACTAAGCAATGTTCCTGATCCTGGCAACTCACCACCTAATACGAACAACAACTTTGACTTGGGTAACTTTTTTTTACATTTTAACGAACCGTTATTCGAGACCTAAGAGTGAGACAGCACTACTTCCGTTTCCTAGAACAGCCCTCCTCCGATACCCTCCACTACGTAACTACCGGCAGCGCAAGTGCGGTAGAAGGGATTTTTGTTTTTGCTTGTCACCGGCAGCCGTGGTTTGACTCGTCACATTGGCATCGACTTTCGTCGAGTGAACACCTCCTTATTAACAACGTTGTTGTTCGTAAAAAATTGTAGGTAGATATTACAAGTTTATTTTAAATTTTAAATATCATGAGTGGAACTCCTGAGCGGGCTTCTAGGCCCAGACAACATAATTTGTCACCAAAGCAGGCTTCTAGGCTGGGTGAACAGGAAAGAGTTACTCAGGGGGCTTCTAGACCCCGAGAAACGCATAGAGAGGCTCCCAGGCCAAGAAAGCGTCGTCTTTCGTCTACGAATTCGTCGGTCAGTGATGACAGTTCGAGCACCAGTCTGTCTACGTCCTCGTCGTCAACATCCAGCGGCAGTTCATCATCTAGGCCACGGCGTCATCATAAAGAACGTAATAGGCGGCGAAAACAAAGTAAAAGTGACCGAAATTTTGAATCATTGGCGAATCAAGTGAGTACAATTATTAAATATTTGAAGGATCAGGATCAGTTCAATAGTTCACAGAACTTAGATAACGATTTAGAATTGCACCCTACCCGAGAATTAACGAGTTCATTAATTCCTAGTGAACCTCTTTTAAAAAGACCTCGATTCGATAAAAATATCCATTGTAACATCAACACTAACTTAAAAGAAGCTGCGATTGATAATGCTTCCGAATCTAGGCTAAATATTTTATCGAAATTACATTATTTCGATACAAATGATTGGGATCGCGTAAGGTATATTGACACTGAGAAAAAGTATCTTGCAAAACCTGGATTTCAAGACTTGGATGTTAATACTGAATTAAGATTTTATGATCCTGATTCTACTTGGCTAAAATCTTTAGACCGTTCTTACGGTGCTTTAACCCATGCAGTAATACAACAAAATGAGCTCTTCAAGAATAATTTACAAAATATAATAGAATGGTCTCACAAGTCGGATACTGTGTTGACCTCGGACTCATTATTTAATAAACTAAGTGAATTATTTTCTGAGAAATCACAGTACATAAAGGTTTCCGAGGACATACTTCAGCTTGTGTGTGGGAGACGAGCCGATACAATACAAAAACGCCGGGATAGCATACTATCGAGTGTTAAGGATCGCTATATTAAAGAAGATTTGCGGAAAATTCCACCTACCCTCACGAATTTATTTAATTCAGAAATAATGAGTTCCTTCTTATTAAAAGTGGGTGGTACAAGCAAGCTGTTTCATAGTAACAAGCGCTCAACGGATGAGCCCATTATGTCTTTTCAAAATAAAAATAGTATTACTCGCGCTAAGCGGCTGCGGAAGCCGGCACCACGCGAACGCAATTATGATGATGTCGAACCTGTTCCGGGTCCATCATCAAATAAAAACAATAATTATGTTAATAAAAACAAGAAGTTCGCAACAATCAATAACAAATTTAATTTGAAACATCGGGACGGTAAATTTAATAATTCAACTGGCAGGAATAGTAATGGTAGATTTCGCAAATGACTGGAGACAAAACTCGTTTTACGGCGGTTGTTTAAAAGATTACATAAACTGTTGGAAAAAGTTAAATGCGCCGAGACATATTCTAAAAATAATATCAGGTTATCGAATACCATTTTGCAAAGTACCGCCATTAATCAGTCACAAACGTTTATTAAAATATCAGACACCAACAAGTGCAGAAATGTCACGAGAAATTTTAAAATTAAAAAATCAAAATATACTAATACCCGCGCCGCCGACTCCAAGTTTTATTTGTCCGATGTTCCTCGTGAAGAAATCGGATACCAGCAACAGGCCAATATTCAATCTAAAAAACTTGAATCGATTTCTAGCTCATTTCAAGTTCAGATTAATCAATGTCAATCGGGTGCCGGATTTTCTGCAACAGGGCGATTGGGCAATAAAAATAGATCTTTCGCAGGCCTATTTTCACGTTCCACTGGCTCGCTCTCATCTGCCGTTCCTGAGGGTTTTATACCAGTCAGAGAATGCAACAGAACCGGAACTTTTACAAATTACCAGCTTACCGTTCGGCCTTTCGTCAGCACCCGTGACATTTGCGACAGTTTCCAACTGGGTAGCAGAGGTTTTACGCAACAGAGGTATGAGGGTAATCGTATACCTCGACGATTATCTGATTGTCAATCAGAGCCAAGCAATGTTACAAGAACAGGCTGCGGAAGCCGTGCAAATTCTGAATTCCCTTGGCTGGAGTATCAATTGCAAAAAGTCAGTATTGGCTCCAACCCAGACGATCGAGTATCTGGGCGTCACATGGGACCTCAGACAAAATATCAAATATATACCCGCCAAAAAGAGACTAAGAATAAAAATAAAATTGGAACAACTTCTAGGTCAAGGTTTTTGGTGTCTCAAGGATGCTCAGAGAATATTGGGAATGCTAAACTTTGCCTCGTTTGCGGTTCCCAGAGGTCGGCTTCATTGCCGCCCTTTACAAAAAGCAAGTTTTCGGCTCCAAAAAGATCAACCACTGTCGAAGAGCACAATTCAACCCCAGGTCTTGACAGAGTTCCAGTGGTGGTTAGAATCCATGGGAGCAAGTACACCGATTCATTTTGCACCCGCTGCTCACTTTCTGACTACGGATGCTTCAGGCACCGGCTGGGGCGCAGTAGTAGACGGTATTCATTTGACGGGAGGCTCTTGGCGTTCCGATCAGATAACATGGCACAGCAATCTAAAAGAGATGTGGGCAATAATCAATTCCGTTCAAACGTTTGCGACACAGTTTCGGAAGACGACTGTTCTAATACAATCCGACAACAAGAGTGTCGTGAGCTACATACGGAACGAAGGCGGACGTTCGAAAACTCTCCTTCAAATGACTTGGATACTATATCAACTGTTAGATCAGAACAACATCCATGTTTTTCCTCAGTATATACCCGGAATATACAACGTAGAAGCAGACATGATCTCCCGACAACAGAGACAGACAGAGTGGACGTTAATTCAACCAACGTTACGGGAGATATTCAGGCGCTTGGGTACACCAGAGATCGACCTCTTTGCATCTCAAAAGGCTCACATTCTTCCACGATACGTTTCACGAGACTGCAGAGATTCAAAAGCAGAATACCACGACGCATTCAGCAGAGAATGGCGATACCGCAAGGCCTGGATATTTCCACCACCAAACCTGGTACCTCGAGTTTTAGCACACCTAAACAGGGCCGAGGGCATATTTCTACTTGTGGTCCCACGATGGAGAAAGGTATTCTGGCGTCCGGACCTGAAACGCCGAGCTATAGCCGCACCTTGGACAATAACACATCTGAGAAACTGTTTATTGGACACACAAACTTGGAAACCACCTGCACAGGCGGATCAGATGTGTCTCGAAGTTTGGTCAGTAAAAGGTGGAACCACTTACTAAATGAATGGTCATTGGATGAAATTGAGTTACTAGACTCGAGCTGGAGAACTTCTACAAAGAAAGTATATTCATCAGTTTGGGAGAAGTGGCGAAATTGGTGTCACGATAAGGAAGTTGATGTTTACTACCCAACGGGATCGCAATTGGCTAAATACTTGGCTAATCTACATTTAAGAGAAGGTCTTGCTTACAAAACGATTTTAGTATATAAATCCGTGATTGCTACTATGACGGCTTCCGAGACAGACTCTTTGAGCAATAATCCTATTGTAAAACGTATTTTAAAAGCCATATCACTAGTGGCTGCTAGTAAAACACCTAAAAAATCTTACATATGGGATCCATCGAAAGTTGTGCTATGGTTGACATCTAATGTTCCGTTGCACCTAACACTTTATGAAGTATCACGACGTACCGCTTTATTGTTGCTTCTGTCATCCAGCCGAAGAGTCCATGATCTCACTCTCTTAAACATTGACGAGGATCATTTCGAAACGTTTGACGATCATGTCATACTACATCCACGGTTCGGATCCAAGACCGACAATTATACACATCGACAATCTTCGTGGAAGTTGATTAAAATAAACAACGACAAAATATGTCCAGTTTATTGGATGAAACGGCTCATCGAAATATCAGCTCATCGTCGAGAAAACAAAAATATGAGTGAACTGTTCATAACAGCACGAGGACCAGTGCGGCCAGCGTCTCGTACAGTACTCAGTGGCTGGGTACGATCGCTATTGCGCGCTGCTGGAGTGGAGGCGAGCGCTGGCTCTACACGTAGCGCCCACGGCTTCCCAAAATTGGTTGGATGGGTATGACATTGATGAAGTTATGAAAAAAGGAAATTGGCGACTCCGAATACTTTTGCTCGCTTTTATTCCTCTGAAATTCGTAATTATTGTAACTCGAATTCCAATTTATCTCACGCTTTTCAAGCTATTTAAGTAATCGATTGATATAATTTAAAGATGATTAATTGAATTTGATTATTTCAAATTATGTACACCTACTTACCTGCTTATGGGAAAATAAAAGGAAAGAAGTATTCTTCTTCTTTGTTTTTCTTTTTATAGTTCTCTTTATTTCTCACACATTGGCATGATATAATTAAGTACTTACTTAATTTTAAAACTTTTACTTGCCACCAGGCGATAACAAACACATCTCACTCTTAGGTCTCGAATAACGGTTCAGCGCATATAATAAAATGTTTTACCTGAAAATAAAACAGTTATTATATGCAGAAACCTTATTCGAGACCTAATTTTTAATTACTGCCTAGTGGCTAAATTCTACTGACTCCAGTGAGATACAATATGACGAGTCAAACCACGGCTGCAGGTGACAAGCAAAAACAAAAATCCCTTCTACCGCACTTGCGCTGCCGGTAGTTACGTAGTGGAGGGTATCGGAGGAGGGCTGTTCTAGGAAACGGAAGTAGTGCTGTCTCACTCTTAGGTCTCGAATAAGGTTTCTGCATATAATAACTGTTTTATTTTCCAAATATAATTAAATGATAATAAATTTGACAGCAAAAGAGCTGGCGACTCTTCACCACATCTGCGTTTCACACCTGACGGAACTGCAGGGTTTGGCGCGATCTCAACCAGCTATACGTAAACTCGTCACCGTCACGGAAATGTTAACCAAACACAAACACAAGTATTTAGAGATGATCAGATAGGGGACGCCCATCGCACAGGTATATAACACAACTTACTTTATTACATACTTTCTCTCTCCCTTCTTAGGAATATTTAAATATCGATTCATAACATTATCGATTTATATCGTTTAGTTTAATATCGATTTATATCATGACACGTATATAATTAAAACGACAAATAGTAAACAATGGGTGCTATGGCAATATTTTAATTCTCTGTGCAAACTTCCACTCACATTTTCATCCCTTTATTTGCTGTTTTCCGGGGTAAAATATAGCCGGTGTTCATCGCATATGATGTAATTTCCCGTAGTGAAAGAATTTTATATTCCAGTAATTTCGGAGCAATGGAATCGGAAATATTCGTTGGAAACAAACTTACAAACAAACAATCAAATCTTACCTCTTTTTAATAATAGAGTATGCTACTCTAACGGTGAGTTGCACAAACGTCCATTAAGGTTTAATGACGTCTATAAGCTCTAATGGATGTCAAATATGTATGGGTAATGTCGCTTTAAACTAATGATAATTTTAATGGACGTGTATGCAACTAGCTGTAAGTCACACAAATTGCTAATGGGCCTGACCGACATTATGGTGACGTAATCTATTGACAGTTGTTGTTCACGGTGTTTTGAGTTGGATTGTGTTGTGATCAAACATTGTTTTTGTCATATTTTTGTTGTTTTCGATTGTTATAGTGTAGTTTAGATTTAATTATTATGATTGATTAAAATAGCAACTTTTTATGATTTACACAATAAGTAAACCTTATTGATTATATTAAATAATAAATATATCTTTCATTTCATACTACTTTTGGAAATGCTTTAAAATATAGTCCTCTGGTTTTTGCCGTACAAAATTTTACATATGTATATTGAAAAAAGGCCTTTGAAAATTCTTTTGCAAAAAACTCACTTCAATGTTCGGACGTGTAAACGTTGCCACAGTGCGTATTAAAACTGCAGATATAACCATCGGAATAAAAATGTGTCTGTTGGAATATCATATTTTCGGGTTGCAAATGTCATTTTACAATGTAAATTATTAATCAAAGTATTTTCAATAAAATAATAGTTTTGTTTTACCAAATATTCAGTGTTCTAAGACAGCACATACATGAAGTAGTGTATTATTACAATTATTATATACAAAAATTTTGAACACAAATCGAAAACTATCTTGGAGTAGTGATTTTTTAAGCATTTTACTATTGAGAATAGTTATTATTTATCTAATTATGTATATATATCATACAATAATAGGGTATATATTTCTATATTTTGTTTCAGGGTAACACGACGTAAATCCATCGCATAAGATATCGGTCTAGTTCCAAGTCACCCGGTATAACAACAAGTTTTACGTATAACAGGCGTTTTCATTAATTATCCTTAATATATTTTTTTTGCATCAGATTTAGTTAATTATCTTTAAAATCTGATGCTCCAGAAATAAGATAGTATAATTAAATCTTGATAAAGATAAATTAGTGAGACCGTTTGTAAGTCATACGCATTTAGTCATTATTAGCTTTAGCCTAATATTTTATTTTTGATTATATGTATACATCACATTCTTTCGTGCTTCCTCGTGCCAAAATTAATGGGCTCTCAAATCACCGTTGAAGTACACAGTTTTTAGACAAGTCATTGAAGAAGTACATACCTTTACTTTGGACAAATGTAAACAACTTAGGTCTTAATGATAAAGCAATGCGTAAGGGTCTGTGAATATCTGACGGACGTCGTGTATCGTAAATCGTCAGAACTGACAAATATATCATGGAATACAACCTTGCATGACGTTAAACTATTAGTCAAAATAACATTTGTATTTATTTATTACAGATTATATAAATAGTTATAATTACGACCAATCACGTGGAGCAATATGAACAAACTGACATCGAAAAAAGAACATTAAAAAAACAGTCATGTGCGGGTCGGACTCGCGCACCGTTAAATGCATATTCCGTCAGATTTGCACTGACCCTAAGCTTTGTGTAATTATGTAGTATTTTGTTTTTTCACACGGAACTGAAAGTTAAAGACTTTCAGTTAAAGAATACATTACATTATTACGAATCTGTAAACAGTAACGTCATAATAATGACAAATATTTATTTACTCGTTTGTGAATCCTGTATTATTATATAAATTAATTTTTATCAGAATTTTATCGCCCGAATAATGCAAGTGGTATAATTATATGAAGTTGTATTCAATTGCCTACGAAACATTTATAGATAATTAATTAAGGCTCTCTAGTATCTTAAGTCATATTTATTGGTAGCGCATTTAAAATGGTAAGATGACAAGCATTTATTTAATTTCTTATTATAGAAAAACGGAATTTAAACAAGCTAGACTTAGGTAAGCACAAGAGCCTTATGCGTATTTAGAAATTATTTTCTTACGAGATGGCAAGGTCAAATGAGTTGTAATTCTGTAAACTGGTGGTTCACAATCTTTTTGCAGATGGAACCCTTTTAGAAACCAAATATTTACATAGAGCCCTAAAATAAAACAATTATTTTCTTAAATATGACCAATATGTATGAATAATAAGTTTTGTAGACCTACATTTGCTTCTACAATTTCGAGAAGCACTGTATTAGTTTAATTCTTAATCTTAGTTGTATGTAAACAACCAAGATTAAGAATTAAACTATATAATAATTTTTTTTTGCTTAGGGAGACAACAAAATTGGCGTCATTGTCACATGAAGTACATACTCTGCGTATTTAACATATTTCTTTAGTGGTTTTTATTGCGTTATGACAATTTAGAGTGAAACAAAGTTAGTCAGCTTTATACAATGTTGAATTGATACATCTCGGTGTAAATTAAAAAGAAAAGGAATTGGTCAAAGTTATTATATGGATATAATAGTTTTTCAGTTTACATTAACACTTAAAAGTAGTCTGATGGAGTGATGACTCCTTTAACTTTAATAACTTTTTCAATGGAGAAATAACTATTTTGAATGCGAGTAAGATTAGTTCGATTCCTCTACAGAGATTGTTGAGGTTGAAAAATTCAAACACCTTCACCCCACACCCACCACCAGCAAAACAGACTAAACATACCCCATACGTGTTATTATTAAAAACATAGGGATGATGACTAATTTTTGTTTGTTTGTCCGTCAGGTAGAGTGTTAAAAAATATTAAACACGTATTTTTTTATTCTTTTCGTAATCATAAAATTACGGCGTTACATTGAGTTGAAATTTCGCATGACGTCACGTTAGGGTACGTTTTCTACTCAACTGTGACGTAGTGAGCCCCCACTCCTCAACTTTAATGCCTGTTATCTGAGCTATTTCTTGTTTAATTGAAGTAAAAAAATACGTATCTAATATTTTTCTATTATCTGACTGACGGACTAAATAGAATTGCATTTTTTTTACCCAGTCATCATCCCTATTCATACGTACAGAGTATAAAATGATCGATCTTATTTCAATAATCATAAGGTGTAAAATACAACTCACTAGGTTTTTGTCTCAGTTACAATTAAGGATGTTCGATGCAAAGATCGCCATTTGGCGTATTACTTTGTTAATTATTATAGTTGGTCAGGATTTGCCGCCAAGTTTAGCCTTTTGCGCTGGCACATTATCGAACAATATTCGTTGTTTTACTGCACGTAATGTTTTATATAAATAATTTTTATTCAGCATTTTATATGTCAATGTTAGTGAATAAGCTTCAATCACGATTGATTCTATTTAAATTGATTCAGATTTTGTTTCAGAAGTCCTTATTGGCAAACAAATTAGGGAGATTATTATAATTAATCTGTCATATTTTTCACTTACAGACATTTATATTTTGCATTTAGTGGTGCTAGCTCATCGAGTTATCCCAGAGCTGTAGCTTTTCTCAAATTGATTTTAAGCCTTTATATGTGGAATATTAAATTAAAAATCGAATACAGAAATTTGAATTTTGTTATCTAATATATACCGAGAAAGTGTTTGCTGGTCGTGTAATAGCCGATTCACGATTTTGTAACGATTTGACCGCGCAGTACATTTGTAGTTTTATTGTTTGTACGTGAATATAGTGCATCCGAATGCTTGCGTATTTTCGTATACGCGATCGATAAAACGTTACAAAAGGACTCACAGTTAAATCGATATAATCAAAGTCGTTAATCAATCTATAATTTTTATTGACTTATCAATAAAAAAATATCGGTCATTAGTGTCCGCGTACAGTAATAGATAGGATAGTAGCTACGTGTTATTAATTATTTTATATAGGATTTAAAATTATATTATTATATTAATTTGTTTAGTATAAATTAATAGAATGATATAATTCTTTCTTAAATTTTAGACACATTTACCCTTCTTCGTATCCAATGTTAGAGGTTAAAAAAACATCATTAAAATTTGTGCATTGATTAAAAAACCCTGTACTTTTAAAAAAAGTAGTTGACTAACTCAAAATCGATATGAATCACGATCATAAATAGTCATCTTGTGCCTCTGGGAACTACGTCGCAAAAACCCATTTAGGAATGGGATGCATTTTATATGACAACCTTTTAATTCATTAGTGTTTATAGAAGTATTTTCATAATGTAGTTATAGACACTAGTAATCTTCGACCATCACACACCGGTATAAACACTAAATAGGAACTGGTAAAAATATTATCTGTACCTAATAGCGGTGGTGACTGATATTTCTTATAGTGCCTATGCGTGCTAATAACTTAAGAAGTTGACAAAAACAAATTAATTTATCAAATAGACTATAAACGCACATTACGGCGTTGCGATTCACTAAAAATGAGAGTGACAAAAATTGCTTCTTATTGCCTGGTGACAATTACTTTTAATATAATAGTTAAATCTAAAAAAGGAATTTAAATACGTTTCCAATATTTTCTACTATTATAATATTATATAATTTACAAGATGGGTATATTTTATACCTGAAGACCGATAAACATTTAGTGAAGTACAATGCAGAGAATATTAGTGAATTTTGCAACGTTTCAGAAAGTTTAAAAAGTTTTTAATGTCAATATTAAAATATTTGGATGAGTGAATATGCACTTCATTATTTTAGTGTTTATCAATTTATGATCCTTTGCTCAACATTTGCAAAGATAATAATGGTTTGTAGTGAAAACAGCTCTGCGCTGTGCTTCACCGTATGTAATTCCTAACTCGTTATAATTATTGAAAGTTGCTGTGTGGCATTCGTTGTACACACCTCGGTCTTCTATAATTTATTAATTCACTGTGATAATTATTCGTTTTCTGATGTCTGCATTTATTTGTGATCTTAATGAATACATTTATTATTATTAATATAATGGATAAAACTGATGTTGCATTATTGAAATTACAGGTAAAGAACAGGCATTAAAATGCAATGTTCTTGTTATTTGTTTGATGTGAAAAATGAAGGGTTCATATATCTAGTGCCATATACTGTACTTATTTCCTTAGCTGCTAAGTAAACTTGCACAGCCCACTTTCGTCTAACGCTTTATATAAAAGTTATAATTTACGTGATAGGGCACTACGGACGTGCGGCATTATGAGGTAGCGACAATTCGATTTGTTCATTATCTTAATTCTATTTGAGTGACGTACAACTTGCAATAACAGTTAACAGTCGAGCTGCCACTGAAAACCGAGCAGAGTAGTTGTTATTAGTTTACGCCATTACGAGTAGTATACCGACGCAATCGCATGCGAAAGCGAATTTAGCGTAATCTAGTCCGTTGTATAACAATGTTAATGATGAAATAGCTGCCTCCGTGTCAGCACGGATAAAAACATCGTTATACAGATGCATAAGTTTCGCATTCAGGGTTGCCACCCATCCCGAATTTTCGCTGTAAAATGATAAATACAATTTTATATAATTTTTTTTCTCAAAAGGTGACAACCCTGTTCGCATTCTCAATAGTTTCGCGTTTCGGATGGGATTACGTCGGAGAACTAACGCTGTCGCGCGTCTGTTAGAGTGCTTAGTGGGCATTATTTAGATTACGTATTTAAGTTTTTACTGTAATGCACAATCTAATAAATATAATTTTCTATGAATATAATTATCATTTAACCTATAAAAAAAAAAAAACGCTAGTTGACACTGACCCGAAATGTCTAGCCAGACAATAAACATTTCCAATTCATTCTATTCGAAACTAAATTAAACGGCCCCTTAATAAAAGTTTCATAGATTTATCTGACATCAATATTAAAGTAAATGATCATACAGTTACATCGAAATCACATTTAAGTTATACTTGGAGTTAGTTCGTAGGTAAAGTAGTGTGTCGTCGCTATTTCTATACGTATTATTTAGCTTATGATAGGGAAAATGTCTAGACTGATTATGCTCCAATTAGACGTGTTAGTATGTATTATTATGCACTAGATTTTCCACAAAAATTGTAACTAAGAGTGATATTATCGCAATATTCGGCCCATTATATAAATATAAAGAAAGATTGATTCTGAATATGATTTTGTTTTTATCATTATGATATTGTTGTTTCGATTGTGTATCAATTAATATTATTTTACTATTAATATTTATTTGTGTAAATTTTACAGATTATTGATTCGGAATTATTTGGATTACATTTTATTTGAATTTTTTAATACCGTTTTTCATAAAAATATTTTATATTTGCACTTTGATATTACAGTATATTAAGACATTTTGAAAACCCCATTTTAATTTTTAACACAATATTTTAATTATGCACTTGTTAAAAACCTGCAATAGAAAGCAGATAAGCTTCTGTTGTTTTCATGACATGTTGACATTTAGATCCAACAATAAGTAATAATAGTAATAAATCTAGATTTTGTGACTGTTTTGTAATCTCTTTATATTCTATCCATTAGTGTGTACTGTTTTTTATTAAAT